TGGGGACCCCCGCGGGCGCGGCGGCGCAGCAGTACCACGGCGAGAAGGGCATCTCCGTGCCGGACCACGGCTTCTGCCAGCCCATCTCCATCCCGCTCTGCACGGATATCGCCTACAACCAGACCATCCTGCCCAACCTGCTGGGCCACACCAACCAGGAGGACGCGGGGCTGGAGGTGCACCAGTTCTACCCGCTGGTCAAGGTGCAGTGCTCGGCCGAGCTCAAGTTCTTCCTCTGCTCCATGTACGCGCCGGTGTGCACCGTGCTGGAGCAGGCCATCCCACCCTGCCGCTCCCTCTGCGAGCGGGCCCGACAGGGCTGCGAGGCCCTCATGAACAAGTTTGGCTTCCAGTGGCCAGAGCGGCTCCGCTGCGAGAACTTCCCCGTCCACGGCGCAGGCGAGATCTGCGTGGGGCAAAACACATCGGACGCCCCACCGGGGCCTGGCGGTGCGGCAGGCCGGGGGGCCACTGCCCACCCTACGGCTGGCTACCTCCCCGACTTCCTCACCCCGCCGCAGCCCCCCTCCGGCTTCTCCTTCTCCTGCCCTCGGCAGCTCAAAGTGCCCCCTTACTTGGGCTACCGGTTCCTGGGGGAGCGGGACTGCGGGGCACCCTGTGAGCCAGCTCGGCCCAACGGGCTCATGTACTTCAAGGAGGCAGAGGTGCGATTTGCCAGGCTGTGGGTGGGCGTGTGGTCTGTGCTCTGCTGCGCCTCCACCCTCTTCACCGTGCTGACCTACCTGGTGGACATGCGCCGTTTCAGCTACCCGGAGCGGCCCATCATCTTCCTCTCAGGCTGCTACTTCATGGTGGCAGTGGCCTACGCGGCAGGTTTCTTGCTGGAGGAGCGGGTGGTGTGTCTGGAGCGCTTCTCTGAGGACGGCTACCGCACTGTGGCCCAAGGCACCAAGAAAGAAGGCTGCACCATCCTTTTCATGATCCTCTACTTCTTTGGCATGGCCAGCTCCATCTGGTGGGTCATCCTGTCCCTCACCTGGTTCCTGGCTGCTGGCATGAAGTGGGGCCACGAGGCCATCGAGGCCAACTCCCAATATTTCCACCTGGCTGCCTGGGCTGTGCCTGCTGTCAAAACCATCACCATCTTGGCCATGGGGCAGGTGGATGGGGACGTACTCAGTGGGGTGTGTTATGTAGGTATCTACAGCGTGGACTCGCTGCGGGGCTTTGTGCTGGCACCCTTGTTTGTGTACCTCTTCATTGGCACTTCCTTCTTGCTTGCTGGCTTCGTGTCCTTGTTTCGCATCCGCACTATCATGAAGCATGACGGCACCAAGACGGAGAAACTGGAGAAACTGATGGTGCGCATCGGTGTCTTCAGCGTCCTCTACACGGTACCTGCCACCATTGTCCTGGCGTGCTACTTCTATGAGCAGGCCTTCCGTGGCACCTGGGAGAAGACGTGGCTTCTCCAGACCTGCAAAACCTATGCCGTGCCCTGTCCCAGCCACTTTGCCCCTATGAGCCCAGACTTCACAGTCTTCATGATCAAGTACCTCATGACCATGATTGTTGGTATCACAACTGGCTTCTGGATCTGGTCTGGCAAAACCCTTCAGTCCTGGCGACGCTTCTACCACAGACTCAGCACCGGCAGCAAAGGCGAGACAGCAGTATGAGACCCCCCTGTCCCCTCTGGCACGCACACACACACGCATGCATGCACACACGCAGAGGAGAGGGATACTTGGCAGAAGAGGAAGGCAATGGCTCTCGGAAGAGGGAGGAACGGAGGCTTTTCCAAACTCTTCCTTCCTCCCGGAGGGTTTGAAAAAAAAAAAAAATAATAATCTTTGCATAAAGGATCAGACGGACTGTGTCCAGTGGTGCTTATACCCATTTAAGTGGAAGAGCACAGAAAGAGGCCACTGGTGGGATGGGAGAGTCCTTCACCTGCAAGAAGTCCCCTTACTTCTCTCTCGTGCTACCTCTGTGCAGGAAAAAACCCAACCCAACTAAAAGCATCCTGCCTTGCTTTTGGACAGGAGGGAGGGGAAGCCAGAGCTGTTGAGCTGCCCCTGCCGAGAAGTAGCCAAACCCTCTGTGAGTGTCTGGGGTCAAACCAGGCAGGGTGACTCCTGAGCCCCGGGCTCGCTGCCTGCTCCTTCCAGCTCGGCGGAGCAATCACGTGAGTACTGCATGACCAGCTACAGCCCGGATCGTGTGCTGGTGAGGCGCCTCTGTTCTGTCAACTTGCAAGTTCCTTTTTACCTCAGTGATACCTGTTTTAATTGTTTTTAAAGTGAAAACTCGGCCCTCGGTCTGTTGTTCTTGCTGCTGTGGGGAAGGAGGGGGTTGCTGTTCCACACCCTGAAAAGAAATGACTTGTTGCTTTTCAGCAGAAGGCTTTTCCCCCTTGCCTTTGTTCTAGGAGACAAAGGGGGAAACAAAAGTGTTTTCTATGTAGAAAGGCATAAGCATGGGATCGGTTTTTATGGGCAAACTAACAAAAAGAAGTCGTTGAGGTTCACCCTTGGATGTGAGGAGCTCGCAGAAATAAACATTCCTTTTATGAAAAAAAGGAGGAGGCAGGATGTTTTCCTACGGTTCAATATGGGTCGCTTTTCTAAGCTGAAGGAAACTCGAGACTTAGAGGGCAAGAAGAGTGTAACCAAGAGCACCTGCCAAAACAAGAGCCATTAAAATATGTAATGTAAAGATACGATTTTTTTCGTTTCCTTCCCCATAACCTGCTTTCTCTCCTGCTTTGCAGTGAACTTGCTGCAGGCAAAGTCAATACACAGCTGGCTTCTGGGGCCAGGAGAAATTCTTTTGGCTCCTGATGGACCCTTTGCCTGCTCCTCGGGGTCCCTGAACTGCACGGGGAGGAGCGAGGACTGGTGGTGCAAGAGGGGGCTGGGGTTGGGGTTCAAAAGCAAGCAGGGACCACAAGTGAGGAGCCTTCTCATTTCAGCTAAAATACATCTGGTTAAGTTTCCAGTGATCACGTCTTGGAAGGAAAGACATTCAAAAATTAATCATCAAATGCATCGTTTTCTTTTTGAAATGTGACAGATTTTTCTATTCTGAAATGTTTATGTTGACTTGTTCATATTTTATTTTTTGCATACTACTTAACCTTTATATTCACTGAAGGGTTGTTTTTATAAGTATGTGTGTGTGTGTATATTCTTGCCTAAGGACAAAAGAGGAAATTCTGGATTTTTAGCAAGTCTCCACGCTATAGCTGCTCTTCATTTTTTGGGGGGAAAAGTGTCTGGAATGAATCTAAAAAAGAAAAAACCTGTTCAGGGTGAGGGGGCAGACTGCTGCTGTCTGAGGGCATACCAGTAGTCTGGGCATGAGGAATGAGCCCATCAGCCAAATCCTTCAGTAGATCTGATTTCAGACTTGCAGGGCTTGGGTTTTCGTCTTTTATAATGTGCACGTGGAAGAAAAAGAAAAACATAAAACATGTAAGACAAGTGCAGTATGTATATTTTGTAAATCTTGTTTTTGTAAGAAAATATGTATTTATGTTTTTACTTGATTTTTTTTTTGAAGGTCTGTATGAGGCCCTGTTTCATCCCATGTACAGATCACTAAATAAATAATTTTTAATACAAAGGCTCCAGTGAAGTTCTTTCAGTCTTTGAACACTCTGCAGGTTATAGAACGGGGAGCAAGCTTTGTGAGTGGCATCTTCCCTCCTGCTTTGTTGTGGGAGGTGCAAGAGACTTTTGGGTGAATGCACTGTGAATATACTGACCAGAAATAGCCGTGACTTGAAACTGGCCTTCCCGAGTACTGGCCACTCACAACAAGAGATCACATTTTGAGACCATTTCAAATGTTTGCCTTCACTTCAGGTACTTGCATCCTAGCCAACTTTTCTTCCACACTCTGCCTCTTGCTGAGGGCAAGTTGATAAACCAGTTTCCTTATCTAGAAAATAAGGATAATGCTCTCTTCCCGTTCCAAAGAGACTTTTAAAACAGAGAACTGGAGGGTGCTATAAGTGCTGTAAATTAAATCCTTGCCTTGTCGGGTGCAGTGTTTTAGGGAAACTCTAAGGACTAGGTCCTTTTCAATAGCTTTCGAAGGCCAGTGTTTTGAACTAGCTTTTTTTCCCCCAGCACCTTTGCTGTCTACAGTTTTGTTCAGGTGAATTTTAATTTAATCTTAATGGCTAGCCCAAAGCCTACATTCTTTCTTATCACAGTCATCTGAAAGCCGATAGCTTCAATGGAATGGTCTATTTTATTTCATTTTTTTAAACTTAAATGAATGTTTAGACCTCAAGCTGTGTTGCTACAATCATGGAAAGTGCCCTGGCAAACAGAATTTTACACCTGTGAAATGATAGTTTCCAGCTTTTTTCTTGCAATGAGTTCAGCCTATTTACTGGGTTCATCACCCTTCCTTTGCCTTGAACTATGGCTATACTAAAATTTAAGTTACAGAACAGAGATTTAAGATGCCTTAGCTGGATGCCATCGTGGTAGATGTGGTTGCATTGCAATATTGTTTCACTTACTGAGCACAGTGTGCAATAGTTGCACTTTCTCTCAGGACACTATTTTATTTGGACACCGTGATCTCAAATGTAACCTTTTACATTACAGTGTATGAATTACCGATTTTAAGCTCTTTTCAGAGCTAGCCCCATTCACACTGCCTCTCTAGAAAAGTCACATCTTTTATCTGAAAACACCTCTAGCTGCTCCCCAGAATCGCTTACTTGTCAAGTTTCCTTTTTGAAAAGGCCTTTGCTTTCCTGCAAGTCAGGCTGCTTCAAACTGCTCCATGACATGAGCTTGCTGATCATTGCTGAGGGGGGTTTCATTCCACTCACTTAGGAAACCTGAACCTTTCTATAAACATTTCCTCCCATTAATCCATCAGTGCCGGCCGGAGCAACGGAATGGCTGAAACAGCTCGCGCTCTGAAGGACTGGGAACGGACGGGAGCACTGGTGTGACTGACACCCCTGTGCTGTGCAGCCACAGCTGCATTGCTAAATGTGTAATTAATTCTTAATACATCATGGACAGCTAAGCCCACAATTCATGCAGGCGGCCTGTCCCCCCACTCTTCTCTCCACTTGCCACCCATCCTTGCTAGCTGGATGAGAAACTGCATTTAGGTGTGACCGCTACTTTTTTGTCCATATGTGGAAAAACTTAAATAGACTTTTTTTTTTTTTTTTTTTCAGTTCACAAGACATTCATATCTGAAAGGAAATGTCTCTGTTTCCACCAGAAACCACTAAAGCTCAATACTTTTATTTCAGTATTTCCTATTAGGTACTTCTGGATTTAAAGTCACTTAGGCGAAACTATCCAAATCCTGGGATTTAAGTTGATTTTTAAAATTTGAGATCGTAGGTGAAATTTGATGCTGGTGTAAAGTAGAAGCAACTGCTATTCACTTTTAAGCAGATGTGACTTGCATCAAGACTGAATTTCCTCACAGTGGAAACAATTTGGAGAATTTCAAGTAGTGATAGCATCTGGGCTTCTGGAATAAAAATCTCTATCACCATTCTGATAACAAAGTAGCAGTTACTTTCATAATGGAGTACGATTCAAAAAAATCTCCGTGAAGCTGTCTGGAAAAAAGGAGGAAAAATAAGCCCTTACTAACCTTTGCTAATTGCTGCAAAACGATTTTTCTTTGACTAACGTTTAAGTCCACTTTCAGTTTTAAGTTTAAGAAAAGTTTCCTAGCCCTCATCTTTGGCTCTTGTCTATGCAGCATTTTTGCTTCACAAGATAATTGGCAAGCAATAGTTGTCATTGATAAATATCCCTGTAAGTTTACACCATATACTACATTTTCATGAAAAATATATAAACACTGGTTCTTACCTTTCAGAGACATTTGTGTTACTTTCTAGAAGAAAGTATTATTATTTCAGGCAAGTTAAACAGGAGGCTTTAACAGTTCTAGAGTTCACAAATAGCAGCAGCAAATGAATGTTGCAGAGTATTTTCTGCCTCTGCAGAAAAAAGTGCTTTTATAATATGTCAGTGTTTGTTTGGGTTTATTTTTGGTGGAATACCCACACCAGCAATTGAATGTTTTTGTCTAAGTACTTCACCCACAACCAATAGCTTTGCATGCAAGTAAAAACCCACACATCTCTCTGTTCACCAACTGGCAACAGTAAACATTATTTACAATTTCACATGGGTTTAGAAACCGAATTACTAACTTGTGTCTTAGTATTTTTTTTTCTGCATCTCATTCTCACTTCCTTCTAGACCTTACAGGTTCTTTGAATATATCCTGCTCTCTATACTTGTGTTTGACTCCTGTTATTTTTTAAAACTGTGAATCCAGCTGAAAGAAATTTAGTCTGTTGCTTGGAGAGGAAAAGACGACTCTGAATCTTTCAGCACTATAACTGTTCATTGAGATAGACTATTGCCAAGCCTGTTCTATATAAACCAGGATAATTGTTTCATGCCAACATGAGCGTGTGGTTTTGGCAGCTACAACACTGCACGGGATAATATAGGATTGGGAGAATAAATACAGTGCATGGCAAGTTCCCAAATGCCCCACTTAGAACCAACACATTTTGACTAAAATGATGCCCAAACTGTAAAACTTAAAATACATACATCAGAGTTTAACACTGCTCAGACAACCAGTTTGCGCCGCAGGAGGATGGGGAGGGTTTTGATGCTGTTTAAACCTGAAGTCCAAGGTTGCCTGGTTCGGGTGGCTGGGAGTTGGTCGTCTCAAAACTAGATCAGTGGAAGTAAGGTACAGCACTTTCTCCTAATCCAGGTAAAGACTGGGCTCAAGCACAGTGTTACCACAGCTGCAACCAAATGGGATTTGACGGAATGATGCACAGTGAGAACAGACAGGCCCAAACAGGGTCATGAGTGTGTACTCCTCTACATCACTTGGTCCTCTCTGTACAGCAGGCCTAACCATGCCAGGAAACTATGGGACTGGGATAAATGAGAATATGGATAAAAAGCAGGAATAAGCAGAGCCTAGAGCACATTTTTAAATAACAGTTGTAA